CGTTGGGCGGGCGCGCCTCGGCCTGGCCGGCGGCCGAGGCCAGGAGCAGGAGGGTCCCGAGCAGCAGGAGGGCCGGCATGGGGCGCGCAGGTCGGACGGGGCCGCCAGGCTGGGTGGAGAACCGAGGCTGGAGCGGAGGGCGGGAGAAGCGAGGTGGCCAGAGAAATAGGGAGAAATAGGGAGATGGATGGCCAGAGAGGATGGGGAATGGGGGGAGGGAAGGTAGGCGAATGGAGGCAGAAAGGATGGGTGGAGGGGGAGGCACGGGCGCGACGTCGGCGGCCCCATCGGGCCGTGGAGGGGGCGGGGGAAGCGACGGAAACAGCCGGGCCAGCCCCGAGGAGAGCAGAACGATACAATGTAACGGTGGGTGGAAAGGATCCGCGCGAGCGGTGGACGGGCAGGAAAGATGGGGAAGGAGACATCCGACCGGTGGGCAAACCCCAGGACGGACGGAGGGAGGAGGGACCGCGGGAGCGGTGATGGGGCGAAGAGGTCAGACGGGGTGAGAGAGGATGCGGAGGTTCAGGGGGTGGGGTGGGGTCGGGCCCAGAGGAGTTTGAGGGGGTCAGTGGGAGGGAATGAAGGGAGACGGGAAAGAGATGGGGGTGGGGAGAGGAGGAGAGAGAGAGATTGAAGTTGAGATTCTGAGTTTGTCCACCAGGCAGGTGGGAAGAGGGGGTGCAGGGTTTTCAACGTCTGCCCAGCTGACTTTTGGGGACCAATGTTTAGCAGCATCCACTGTGCGCCAGCAATGTTTGCATCCCGCCCTGCCACCAGTCGTGACAGTACCACATGCCCCCCGCATTGCCAAATGTCACCAGGGCACAGTTGCCCGCCTTTGGGAGCCACTAGCTTAGACCCTTATGGTCCTCAGTCCCCCAAAACTAGCTCTAATAATTAAGAGATTTCAAGACCCAATGTGTCTGTCTGTGTGTCTGCCTGCCACACCCCCCTACCCCCACACACACTTCACATGAGGACACCAAAGTTCCAACAGGCCCCCTCGTTTGCCTGAGCCCCACAGTGCCCAAGCAGTAGAGCGGGCTTGGGAGTCGGGCCTCAGGGTATCACCACCCACAGAACGTGGACGACTTAATCCCACACAGAGAAATGGTTGACCGCACACGTACGCCCCTCCCAGCAGTGCCCCACGCACACAGCCATGTGGATTCCCTCGTTCAGAGGGCGGCATGTACGGCTGGGCAGGCTGTGCCTGCGCAAGGGGGTCTGGCTGGAACCAAGAGGGGCTGCCCTCTCTAAGGGTGCTGGTTGGGTTGCATCCATCTGTGGGAAGGGGCACCCTTTTCAGACTCACACCAGGGTGCCAGCTGCCTGCCAGACCACAGACACTGGGGGCCGCATTGGGCCAGGGGCACCTTTGCCTCATTTGTACAAAGGCTGCCAGCTGCCATGTGGGCTAGCAGTGTGCTCGCTCAGTCCCCATTCTGTGCCCCGTCTCCCCTGGGGTCCATGGACACAAATTCTTCTGCTGACAGTGTTCCATTGCTAACTCCAACTGCACACACCTGGGGAGACATAACTCCAGGCACTCTGGGGGGCGGGGAGCAGTGACACACACGCAGACACAACNTTCTGCTGACAGTGTTCCATTGCTAACTCCAACTGCACACACCTGGGGAGACATAACTCCAGGCACTCTGGGGGGCGGGGAGCAGTGACACACATGCAGACACAACACACACACACACACTGCCCCTCCAGTGAGGAAGGGGCCCACAGCTTCCTGCTCCGGCGTCACACCTCCCAGGGCAACACAGGGCAGCACCTACTGGTGGGAAGGAGACACACACCGAGGGACAGAGGCCCATCCAGACACAAGGATACAGGGGAACAAGTTCGTCCCTTAGCTCACACGGCAGAACTTACACCCGCAACAACACAGCACAGGACACCCACACAGTGTCCCAGACACAACATTCAAGGACACCCTGTGTCATCCTGATGGTCCACCTGAGCCTCCTCTCCACGCATGTACAGCTTTACGTGGACACACAGCCATACACGTCTGCGTGTTTCAGCCCCCAGGGCACAAGACCCAGACACAACCTCGGACATGGAGACACACTGGGACTGCACACAGCTCACAAACACGGGCAAGGACCTGCCCAAGCCAGTTACACACAGACGGACACACAACTACACACATCACAGCCCCCGGCCTCATGCAATCTTGTGGGTGCACACACATGTGCAAACACACCCTCACCCAGTGGTGGAGGTAGGCATGTGACACCCCCCCACACAGCCCCCACCCCCGCTCACTCACACGGAGACACTTTCTTCTCCAGGGGTGGAGAGGAGGGGCCCCTGAGCCCCAGACTCCCCACGTGCGCCCCCCCCCTCCGCAGCTCAGGGCCAGAGGTCTGGCTGTTCCCCAACCCCCTCAGCCCTAAGAGGACCTGAGAGATACAGATGGGTGCACAGAGAACAGGGGAGCCAGCTGGAGGAGGGGACCCCACTGGGTCATTGCACTCCTGGACACCTCCTCCCCCACCTGCCACCCAGCACAGCACTTGGCCTCAAGCTCTGGCCCCTACCCCTTCCTGACCCTGCGAGCTGGAGGTGGGAGCCAGGGCTGGGTGGGCTGGGGGGGGCCAGGTGAGCTGACTCCAGAGAAGCCCGGAGGCAGCGGAAATTAGGAGACGGAGCAGGACCTGGGGGAAGGATCCTTGGGAGGGGGCAGAGGCCCAGGGAGGGAGACAGAGGCCCAGGGAGGGGGGCAGAGCCCTAGGGAGGGGGGCAGAGGCCCACAAAGGGGTAGAGACCCAGAAAAAGAGAAGCCCTGGCCCGGGGGAGCGGGGAGCTGGAGGGGGCTGAGGGTCGTGGTGGGTGCTGAAGAGGCGGTGGCGGGCGGGGGCGAAGCGCACCGGGTTCCAATGCAAAGGGGGGTGATAAGGGTCGGTTTGGGGCTGGGATGTGGAAAGCGGGGAAGAGGAGGCGGGGACCTGGGTCCAAGAGGAGGCGGACCAGCAGGTGGGGGAACGTGGAGGAAGAAGCGAAGGGGCCGGTGGGGAGCCGCGAGGTCCGGGGAAGGTCCCACCCGCACCCCCACGCCGCCCGGGAGGCGGGGACTGGCGGAGGGACGCGAGCCGCCCCGAGCGCTCCG